CCCTACAAAGTGAAATAACACCCAGTTCTAACAGTTGTTTTGTTTTCTCCACCTCTGCCACAGGTTGCCAACTTGGCCTGTTCCATCTCAAACAACGAAGAAGGTGTGAAATTGGTTCGCATGTCAGCAAGCCAGCTTGAAGCCCTGTGTCCCCAGGTAATGAGAGTGTAAGAGCATCAGATATACCTTGCTAAGTTGCTCACTTTGTGCTCTGGTCTCTTAGTGTCTGTCTCTGGACTTGCCGCAAGACTTGTCTTTTCCCTTAATATGTAGAGAATAAAATGCAGTGTAGGCATCAAGTCTGAAAACCTTCAAACAACATGACAAAGTGATTACTGGTACGAATTGGTCTTTTTTACATAGTAACTCTAATTGCTTTTGCCTCAGGGTATTCTAGTGAACTGCAGGACAGTGACCAGCTTCAGTGAGATACTGTGCATGTTCATAAGATTGTTTAGGTTGGAAAAAAACTTTGAGATCATCAAGTCCAACTGAAAACCTAATACTGCCAAGGCCACCGCTAACCCATGACCCTCAGCACCACATCTACACATCTTTTACAACACCACAGGGATGGGGAATCCACCACTGCCCTGGGCAGCCTGTGCCAGGGCCTGACAGCCCTTCTGGGGAAGAAATTGTTCCTAATATCCAATCTCAACCTCCTGGGCAACTTGAGGATATTTTCTCATCCTATCACTTGTTCCTTGGGAGAAGGGACAGATCCCCCACGCCCACGACCTCCCCTTCCTGGCTCCAGCCTCCTCTCAGGCAGTTCTCCCCTCAGCCTCCTTATCTCCAGGCTGGTCACCCCCATCTCCCTCAGCTGCTCCTGCTCAGACTTGTGCTCCAGCCCCTTCCCCAGCTCCCTTGCCCTTCTCTGGACACGCTCCAGCCCCTCAACATCCTTCTTGTCATGAGAGGCCCAGAACTGACCCCAGGATTTGAGGTGCAGCCTCACCAGTGCCCAGCCCTGGTCCTGCTGGCCACACTGGTGCTAATACAAGCCAGGATGCTGTTGCCCTTCTTGGCCACCTGGGCACACTGCTGGCTCATATTCAGCTGGCTGTTGGCCAACAGTCCCATGTTGCAGGAAGATGTCCTGTGAAGATGGCTACCATTGCTCCTGTGCCTGCTGTGAGATGAATTGTAGGTTGTGATTTTTTTGCTCAAGTAGGATATAAATATGCCAAAAAATCTTCTCAGTAGAGTGGGATCAGAGGAAGATGACTATGCATGAAGAGTTTGAACCTGGCTGAGACTACCTTTTAATTAAAACTTTTTAAATGGAAACAAAGATATTAAGTTGATATAAGCACTAGACTGTCGTCTTCCATTTTGACAGCCCTGATGTTTTAAATGTCACTAACCAGGTGCTTGGATGGAGGCTACAGTGCACTGTCAGTTCTTGTAACTTACATTTTTAAAGCAACTCTTGTTGGTAATGAGGAACTAATGGAAAAGCATACTTAAACATTGGCTAAGTGGAATTTTTAGAAAATAAGGTGTATTGTCTCAGGATTACTTGGAATTTGTTCAGGTTTTCCCATAAACACTGGTCCTTTTAAAACTACTGGAAAGGAAGAGAGAAATGTACCCCTGTACTTGCCCCAGCAGGAGAGAATTTTGAGATGGCATGTGAAGGTGGTGTGAAGAGCAGGACTATTTTACCTTTCCTGTTACTTTTAACTGGGCTGTTAAATGAGCGAGGGTAGGCACCCAAAAAGAAAGCATTAATTACTATCTAGGAGGCCTTTTGTCATCCTGGGGTAGACTTCTGTGGTTTCCACTCCTGGATTAGCTCTTGGGGCTGGTTCATCAGCTGCCTTGCCTGTGCAGTTCTTTGCCTCCCACATCTGAGGCCAGTGGTGTGCATGACATGTTGAAACCAAAGGTCAATTTTTACAGCTGGAACAAAGCATGTGGAAGAAAAAGCTTTTAAAAATACATTTTACCTGGTTGAAGCGCTTGCTCTTCCCTAAAATAACCAGCTAGGCTTGATGCAACTTTGTAGTTACCTTCAACGATATGAATATCTCATGCATGTTGTTTCAGACAAATGCTGATGCTTTTGAAAATAATAATTTGAATCTAAATGTTTCTGGTAGTTGTCCAAGTCTGTGGGGGTGTTTTTCCCCCTCTCCATTGCTTAAACTTGTATATGTTTCAAAGACTACTACCTTGGCTTTTCTAGCAACTGCCTGTTTTAATAAATTTACTCCTTTATAATATAAACACCATGAGAGTCAATATGAAATAATTAACAAGGTATTGGCAGTAGTTGCCAAACTAGTCACATCTACTGAAGTGCAGCTGTTAACCTTTAATTTCAGGGATTATGGATAATGCGTTTAACATGCATTGGAAGCTTTGATTATCTATAAATGGACAAGGGCTGGAACTGATGGATTTACGAAGGTCATATATCTGAACTTCCAAGCCTGCCATTGTCTTGCCTTAATTCCAGGGTCGTCACCGAGAGACTAGTAAATGACACTATAGATGTTCATAGCACTTGAAAGAGTGATTTTCTATTACATGTTCTCTGGTTGATTCTTTAATGCTCAAAGAGGACTTAAACATGTTGTGAATCTTGAGAGATAATTCGGGCACTTGTCTAAACTGTTTTACAAATGGCACCTGTGTTTTCCCCTGACAATCCAGAAGTTTGTCTTGTGCCAGCCTGAGTGATGCAGCACACTGTTGTCCTCCTCAAGGTGTTGCCCGTAAGTCCCCCAACTTTGGTTATTCTCTACAACCTCTAAATGCTTCCAGATATAAAGAACAGCATAGTGAGGGTTTGTCTCCTTTTGTAGACAATTATCTGTTTATTTTGCAGTTTATTTCTGAGATTTGTGCTGCTTCTTGAAGACTTTTAGGTGGCTGTGCTGAACAAATGTGTGAATTAGGCATAAAATACAGATTTAAGCCAACATTATCTGCCCTTTTTCATTCATTTGTTTATTTATTTTTGCTTAGACGGTATTTTTCCAGGAAGATGCTGGTTTTGGAAGGAGTCAAGTTAATCAGTAATTACAATAGTCTCTGAAACTCCAGTGAATCTATCGGTATCACACAGAAATACGATGTATGAAATTTAATTCAAGGTATTGCTGTGCTTGAAAGGATGAAAGTGAAATTTAATGCACTTGAGTAAGTCCCTGGGTAACCTCTTAAATAGCTTAGCTGAGTAGTAGCCATTCTGGGAGTAGGAAGCTCCTGGTTAAAGAACGATTTCTGCAGAAATCAATCCGTAGAGTTAATTGTAAAAGCTGTATCTCAAATAAAGCAGTTATTCAGTCCCTTGCCATAACTGGCCTTTCAGAGCCAGCAGCAGGAGTGAGGAGCATGCAACACTTCAGACAAGTTAGGGAAAGCCTGGAAGTCTTGTCAGTATGGACAAGAAGTCATTACTTGTCATTTACAGTGTCACTGACAGGTTCAGACATTCTCAGGTTTGAAATTTCTTTGAGGGGGGAAAAAAGAAGCAGCAAAAAAATTCTCATCTGAAAAATCTCTAGGAAAGCAAGCAATTAAATTTGTTCAGTGTGGCTGATGTTAATGGAAATCAGCTCTTCCTCAAGAGTAACATCATCCTTCCTGTTTGTGAGTCCCCAGCCAATTAACACAGAAATTAATGGGAAGCTGAAGTCTTGATGTGTTTAGAGCTCCCTGTTGCCCATGCAGTAGGAGCTGTTAGGAAGAGCTGTGCATGCTATGTAGTAGCCAGCTGGGTGGCTTGTGCTAGGTTGGCTTGCAGGGGAGAAATAAGGCAGTGTTAGGAGGTCATGGGTGTTTTTCTTCATGAAGCCTTGACGTACAAGCCTGCCTGAGTTCTTTATTTTGAGAGCACATGTTGCTGAAAGTCTGTATATCAAAGTGATCTTGCAGTGATCTGCAAGTGCATCTTGCAGGAGTTACCTGCAGTTCTGCAGCTTCTTGCCTTGCTGTGTTGTAGGGGAAACAGGCCCAACTGTGCTGGGTTAAGGTGAAGGACCAAAAAAGTCCTCCATCACAACTAAATGTTTTAAATGCTTTAGAAAAAATGTTTAAGATGGCTTTCACAATGGAAATGGAAGAGTACTGCTGTGAAATGCTTGGAATAGTTGTCTATGCCTCTGTTTGCCTAGCAGAGTGCGGGGGGGGGGGGGGAATTTTCTTTCCCTTTTGCTAAACACAGCTTGCCAACTGTTTATCTCAACTCAAAAACCTGGATCCTTGCTCGTAACTCTGACTTCTGGGTTCTGTTTCCAAGAAGTACTTGCCCTGGGAGCCTGCGAAAGCTGTTTTGTAACTGCATTTTGAATTAAAAGATGTCTGAGAGCTTTACCATAGGAGTGTTTCTGATCATACAAGCTGAAGGTGTTTAGAAGGCAACAGTGAAAGTGCCCCAGTACAGCTCTTGAAAGGGACAAGTATTGCTCCAGCCCTGTGATATGACAGTCTGCTGTCACTTGCAGCTGCTTTTATTTGTTGAATTTCTTGTTCTTTAAAACCTCTGTGAACTTCATCTGTTGACTTCTAACCAAATTGCACTCAGGCTTGGAGTTATAGAAAATCATTATGGATTAGAATTTCCATCAGGCTGGGTATTTGTTTCTGCCAGCAAAAGCTGGAGCCCATTGCCTGTGAGACTGGTCATCCTCTGGGAAGCAGGCTGTGGGACAAGTGTAGACTTGCTCTTCCCTGGCATGGACATACCAGACCTGATGTCCCATCTTGGTGGTTGCTTCTTTTCCTCTGCTGTCCAAATAGCTCCTTGTCCTCCTCAGAAGCCTTGGGGTGGCAGCAGGCAGGGTCTTCTGTCCTTTCCTTGTTCCCTCCATACCTGCCTTAGCACAGAGAGTGTGTTTGGCATAGCTGACCGGCCCCTGCACAGTCAAGTGAGTGTTGCCTATTAAACAGACTCCAGATAATTCTTGGATTGAATTACATTTTTAATAAAAATAAATTGGCTCCTCTCATATTAACATCTTGTTTTAATAATTGCTGTTCCACATCCTTACATTCCAATTTCGAAATGCTTGAAAAGTAATTTGCTGCTTATAGATTTCTGATGAGGCAGATGGTTACATATGCTGATCACACCTACTAACACAGATAGACAAAACACCAAAGCATAAGGGATCCCACATAGAGGTTCCAAATAGTACCAG